CGCTATGGTCAAATGGGTTTTGTTCAGTCTTTTATTTATTTACTTATTGTTTTCTTTTTACTTTAGCTGTCGTTGTGTTCGTTTCACATGCCACACACACACACACATCCACACAAGCCAACCGATAAAATGCACATCAACAATAAAAATCAAGTGCAATAAATAGCTGTATAATAATTTATCGAATAATTGAATCGAAGAATGATTGCCAATTTCTTGTATAAAATATAAAGTAAAATAGTGTTTCGGCTTCAAATGCAAGATAATCGCATTAACACATACATTTCAGTCGATTTGTATGCTTCTTTCGAAGCGGAAAAGTTAGTGGTTGTTAGCTGGCCTGTGTTAACATAATACACATATATATGTATACATATAGCAATCACAACTGGGCACGATATCGAAATCATCACGTATCTGTGCTTGCAGGCGACAAATTCAATTTCATCGCTTAACAATTGGTTTTTTTTCTTGCTCATTGTTTTTCTATCCCGTATTCCGTATTATATCGACTTGATTCTCGAGCAATCTCTCTAATGCCATGTTGAGCGTACCCATTCTTGCAGTGCGATTGGCAACACAACAAGACAGGCAGCACACAGAATTCCACATACATACAAGCACGAAAGAGAGAGAGAGAGAGAGAGAGAGAGAGAGAGAGAGAGAGAGAGAGAGAGAGAGAAAACAAACATAAAATGTGTACATTGACATGAGTTTTAACTATAAAACCGAAGAGAAAAAAGAACAGAAGAGAAAGGCAGAAAAAAACAGAAATGAGCTCGAGAAAATAATAGCATCACGATGAAGTACAAGAATATGCTTTTCCGCATGAGTGAGGAAAAACTTCAACAGAACTAACTGTGAAATGCGTGTTAATGCTATCTTCAGTGAAATTTTCCACTTTCTTTTACACTCACCCCCTCTGCTTACATTTTACTTTTCTCGTTTCTTGTTACTCTCTAGCACCCTCCTTTCAGTCGCCTCTCGTTCGTTTGTTAAAATCCATCCATACTGCTTTGTTGGATACGTGATGCGTAAACTCTTCGATTTTTCGTTCATATTCTATCATTTGGTCGCCAATTCATTGTGAGCCTAAACATGTTCATATCGTCAACAAGCGTAGCGATCTGATTTATAGCATTTTATTAGCCAAAGCCTGTATCACATCTTAAAATGTAATTGCACGCGCACACACACACGGTAATCGCTACTCTATCGCTCAGTTCTCACATACACTCATTCGTTCTTCTTATATTCATCAAATTTATCAGCACACATTTTTTTTTTAATGTTTTATTGTTATATGAGCTTGAAAATGTAAGCCATTCCATATGGACGCGCAGCTCAATCTGTATTCATCCATCATATATGGATAGTCAACATGTTGCCCATTTTGATCTGGTATGGGCGCGAATGAATGATTTTTTTTCTTCGTTCTTCATATTGTTATTGTTATTGTGTGCGCTTATCCTTAAAGTCGCTCAACCAAATGGTATTTGTGATTTGATTATACACGGTTTACAATTTTATTATTATTCATATAAATAAATTTATCTACTTTCGGATTTTATACATTTTGCACGCTCTCGAGGTTATTCGTTCTTTTTTTTATCGATAACAATCGAGTTTTTCATATGCCCTGTGGGGGATGTCGCCAACAAAATTCTATTTCATGAAAATAATCAGAAAAATTTGTCGACCACACACATGACAATAGCTCAGTGTTCAGTACACAACAAAGTGCTAGAAATCGCTCTAATATAGAAATAGAAACAGCATATAGCATAACAGACTTTTACGTTCATGTTCAACTTGAGCAATTTTAACTCCCGATGATAATCGACACTCAATAAATCCACGATATATCTATTGATGCACAACAATATGCTCAAAATGCCAATCTTAAACTCTGTTCACACTCAAACATGACATTTATCGCAGCTATTACATCGTATATATTGGAATACACAATATGGAAGAGTGTTGATGATATGGCTGTTCAAACACGATGTGTTGTGATGTGTGCACCGTTCTTCTTTAAATCAATATTTTCTTTATTGCCTTTCTACATTTCAAAAAAAAAAAATGACATGAACAAATACATGTACGTCACCATTATCTGTTTCGAACAGCTGATAAGAGTTGAATGCACACGGTTGAAACGTTGTTCAAAGGTCTATGAATGCAGTTATAATACCATTGAATTGTATCAGCATTAAACGTCTAATGTTTACATATCATCGCGACATCGACCAAATTAAGGCCACAGCTCTGCAGAAAACATTTAATTGAAAATTGTTTGCAAGCATCTACCTCTACCTCTCTCTCTCTCTCTCTCTCTCTCTCTCTCTCTCTCTCTCTCTCTGTCACTCTCTATGTGTCCTTCTCTCATCTTCTTGGCAAAATGGTTTTGAATTTTTATTTTATATTGAAACATTGAATCATTCAGTTTGTTCTCAATGTGTGTCAAAAACTTTTTGAAATGTGAATTGTTTGAATGTCGTCGAAATAATCGATTCCGAATTTCAAACAAGAAGAAAAAAATCACACGTTTTCATGAATTTTATTTTTAAAATATTCCTTAGATTTTTAGAGAAGATGCATGGACTAAAGTTTTAAGCGCTTTTCATGCAGGATATTCCATAAAAAATGCAGTGTATTCCATTTTTTATTAATCAGTTCCTCTCGTATGACGTTTTCTAATGAAATTATTTGATATGCGTGTTCCACTTATCATCAATGTAACATGATAACTCACTGTTGAAAACTTTGCTTAGTTCCACAACCAAAAAAAAAAAAACGGAAATGAATCCATATAGAAAGTATATGTAGCTTGAAACACAGTATAGCAACTTGAGCAAAATGTAATTTTAAAAGGGGTAAATAATAATTGGTTTATGAGTGAAAAACACAAATGGAAAATTGAGAACACGCACACTATATTTACGCAAGGCACTATCTCCCATCTGAATCGAAATAGAGAAAGAGAGAGCAAATATTTCAATTTAGTTTGTTTGTTTATTTGCATTTGATTTCGTTCCGTCGTTCATTTATTTCTCTCTTTTTTTCGTTTTCTGGTGTAGTAAACATATGATGGAAATGTACTTGTTCATTCAATGGTTTCTTCAAATAATACCCTCTTCTGTGCCGCATAGAGAAGACCATTCATCTAGGGGCATTTTACTATATGCGAATGCCATTTTATACGGAATATATGAACATTTTCCTATTCATACATGAAATATACGAAGATAAGTATATTCATCCGCATCAATGCGAATGCCGCATACGTCTTGCTAGATGCGACAAACTGTCGTGTGACATTTGTATATACAAATGTACATACACATTGCTGTGTTCAGTTTGTCGTGGCAGTTTCAAACACAATGTCATTGTTCTCAACCAAATTTGAAAAACAGTTGAAAAAAAATACAAGATTATTTGTTGAATATTATTTTAGAAGCCGTATTCGATTCGAAAAGTGAGATTTTAGAAATAAATCCATAAAAAAATAAATTTACAGTGATTATATTACGAGTGGCAAAGATTTATTTACCATTTTTAAAAAAAATTCACTCAATATTACCAAAAAAATATCAATTCGGCTTGTCTGTCACCTAATCTGCCACTTTGACTTTTTGAATGTAAAAATATGACTTTACATATGCGCCATCCTCAAAATGTGTATGAAACATTCGTGACTATTCGTTTCCATTTGCAAAATATATATGAAAAATTCGCTCGCATATGGAACATTCGTATAAGTCGGAACCCCCTAGCCATTCATTTTCATTCGTTTAAGGCCACAAAGATGTCTCCAAAAATGTCTTGTCCTTTTTTCTGTCTCTCGACACTCAATCATTGAAGATGGTTCTCTTTTTTTTCTAAAAGCCATACACAAATAAGAAAAATGTGGAAATTGACTTTGAAGATTTTTCACTTAAACGAGTTTTCCTGGAAGCAAATAAGAGATAGAGAGTGGAACAGACAGGTTTTGGTTATTCTATATCATAGCTGTATGGCCTGAAGATATTGCGAAACATATACACATGAATCGATATTTATCAATAAATATTCATCGGTGTAGAAAAATTGATTTTAAAAATGAGAAATATTTGTTGTAGCTGCAATATTTTTCATTTTGTTCGCTTTATTCGATTAACCTACCAATAAAACAGTGCTTGAGTACTTAAATTACCATAAAGTTACCATTTTGTTCTCGTTTTTTTTGCATACTTGTCTCTCTATGAGTATTTTTTTCCCTTTTTTGAAACAAATGGCTGAATAATATTTATTTTATATACAGCCTAATTCATCATGACATAAAACTATTCAAATAAAATGTCTATAATTTAATTTCGTTCCAATTCGCTAATCTTGTCTTCTTCTTCTCTCATCGCAAAGTAGGCAAGAATGAATCGATGCAGTGTGTTTCGCGCATTCACACTTTCAAACGAAAGAAAACAAAGAGTGTAATGGGAAAAAAATAATATTGACATGGGAGCAAGTGAGAAACACTACTGTTGGCACATGCGCAAATTCTCTTTGATTTTATTGACGCACCAACATGCTTCTACCATTTGAACGAAAGAACGAAATACCATATATAGCTCTCTCTCTATCTATCTATCTTCCTTCCACTAATATTTCAATCTACCCCCTCGCCCCTTTCTTACTCGCTATCTTCATCTCTTTCATTCTGTATGTGCACAAGCTTTTAAGTAATGTCAATGTGATCTTTCTTTCATCTGTATGGCCTGTTTGCTTGCATGTAAATATAACTCACGACTGCTCTTTTTGGCGCATTGAATGAAACTTGCAGTGCACATTGAGTGTGTGTTTATTTCACACTCACACACATACTTTAAATCGCTATCAGACAACAAATTTTCTCATCGAAACAGGGCACAATTATACAAATGAGATTTTATTTTAGTTGCGACAGTAGTCGGTTGCATTCGAACGGGTGATTTTATTTTTGTTCCAAAATATATACATACATACATACATAAAGATCATTCAAAACGAGATATTGTTGGTTGTCGACGTTGCCAATAATTTTTTTGTTTTGTTTGATATATATATACTATTCTTGTTATCATATTGTTCGTCAAAACAATACAAAATACGTTATATACATGTTTAAAAAGTACAATATCCGAACCAAAAAAAGCGAGAAAAAATTGTTTGTTGTTGTTATTTTTCTTGGTTTTATTCGCAAAACAAGTGAGCTTCAATAAAGAAAAACTGAAAGCTTTACCACATAGCATAGATTTTTTTGCGAATTTCAACAAATCGAAGCTGTGACTAAACCGAACCTGCTCAATACTGTTTTTTAATACTAGGAAATGTTGAAATATTTTTAAACATCAACAAAAAAATTCATAAATAAAATCAACAACTTCGTGTCTGTGGCTTTTTGGCTCTCTATCCAACATCGTTTGAACATAACATTTGATACAAGATGAATTTCATAGGTACATTTTTTGTAATGACCTTTATAAGTGGTAGAAAAAAAAGCATATTTTCATTGGACAAAAAAAAAACTAAATTATTAAACAATTGCTGTTAGTAAAGAATATATATACATAATGAAATGCTGCTCTTGAATGAAAAATGTTCGCATTTGTACAAAAACTTATAATTAGATTGACCGAATGCACCAATCAATTTATGAATGTTCGAACCAATTGTATAGCGCGCATGAAAGCGAAATATGAGTGCTTGGATTTAAAAAAAAATGTTTTGAACTTATGTTGGAATGACTTACATTCATATATATTAGAGGAATGTTCCTTTTTATTTACTTTAAATCAACCGAAAATCAAAATTCGCTTTTAGTTCTCACAATCGGATTCGTTTTTGTTTGAATTGAAATCAAATGAAAAATATTTTTGTGTAATTGCATGTATTTTAGTTTGGAATGTTTATTTTTTATTATCCCTCCAAATCAATTTAAAAGCATATATTCAGCGCACTTCTATTCAAAATCCTTGCTAATAAGTAATCACGAATTTTCTTATGGTTTTCTTTTAATTTCATTTACTCTAAACTGTTTTAGTAAATTAGTATTGAAAGTTTGAAATATTAAAGAAATTTGTTTGTTGAAACATTCGAAATTAAAACATTGACATTTGTTATCATGATATAAATAATAGGTGCCGTTGGTGGTGGTGATGATGATGGTGGTGAGGACAACAAAGAAAAGGCAGAAGAAGAGGAACGAGAACGTCTCGAAGCCATTCGTGAGGCTGAAGAACGACGAAAGGAAAAACATAGAAAAATGGAAGAAGAACGAGAAAAGATGCGCCAAGACATCCGAGATAAGGTAACTTATATTCACACTATTTTTATTTTAAGTAAATCAATTTTTTACTCAAAATAGAATGCACATTAGTGTTGTAGTGATATGTAGATTCAAACCATGTAATATGGAAAAGTTACAAAAGCCGCACATTTCTTTTACTAATTTGATGAACTGCAAAAAAACTGAACGCTTTTTTTGAAGTTTTTGTAAATTTTCCTATACTGCTTTATTATATTCAAATTTTGAACGCGTGGACGGATCGGATTTCAGTATATATTACATTCTAATTCTGTTATGTCGACTAATCATTTTCGAAACAGAAAAAATGACTTGAAATTCAAATCTGATTGAAGTAGCTAACAAAATCCGATGCGTTCATGATTTCAACAAAAGCTCAATTTGCAGCCAATTTTATTTCTTTGTTCACATTCACACAAGTTTTGTAACAATTTTCACAATCCAGAATGCTGAATATTTGTATTTCATAGCACCATTCGTGACAAAAAAAAAAACGAAACCTTTAAAAAAAGAGACATAAAAAACATACATACACACAATGGATTTATAAAGACCATGAGCATTGTTTTGTGGTTTTATGCACTGCCTGTAAGACACACTGGACGTTCGGTATCTGAATGGAAAAAACACAATCACATACAGTACATCTCAGTTTAATTTTTTTTTCAGTTAGAATCGATTCGAATCGAATATACACACATAAAAACGTAATCACCTATTTGAAATCAAATTGACTCTAGTAGGGAGTCCTTGTAACAAAAACGACTCCCTAACGGAGTCAAATTGATGACTTCTAGGTCAATCAGCAACCACATGTAAATCATAGAATTTTAAACTGCCAAAAATACCAGAAATACCAACTAATCAGCTTAGTGACCACACTCCACTAGCACAACAATCACCAATCACCAAATAAAAAATTTATTTATTTTTATAATAACTATAGCAATAATAAATTATAATAAAATACTAGAAAACCAAAAGAAACAACATATTTTATTGCATATTATTCATATCTTCTTTATATTTGCATTTTTCTTTTTTAAATTTTAGCACATTTTATATTTGTTGTTCATCACTCAGCAAATTTTTCATAATGCACAAATGAATACTTCATCGGTTTAGTACTTGTGCACATACAATTTACTGTGAGCCGAGCGAGAACATTCTAGAAAATTAAATTCATGATATTGTAGTCATTTATTTTATTTTCATTTAGTTTAACCTAAATACCGCATAAATGGCGCCCGAAAACTGTCTTGCTTTATTTCATTCATTTCTCATTCTCATTTTATTTGATCTCAATAAAATAGCGAGCTTTTGCAATAGCGAAACGTATAATTTTCTATAAAATTCAATATTCGAAAGCGTTTCTCTTCTCTTATTTTGTTGCAAGAAATTAAGTCAATATTTATAACAATATCAAAGTCCTTTTCAAGTTGTTTTTCGAGAATGTTTTCCCTCATAAAATATCACAATCAGTGGGCTTGCAATCAAATTAAATGGATGAACTTAATAAATGAATGTGAAACAAACAAACAAACAAATGCTAACCAGTAAAGGTATCGAAGTGTTACTAAATGTTTTCAATTTCACCTATATGGATCGATATAATGTGCCGAAAAAATAAATTTGTGAAAATAAGGGGGGCCCAATTGAATTAGGGGGGCAGGGGAGTACCCCACCATGTCAAAATTTGGTCGGATCAAAAAATAATGTACTACAAAGCTGTTCAGAATGACGAGAGAAATTTTTTATGGCCCCTGCCTTGCAAGTCCCCCCACCCCCCAGGGGGTTGGGGGATCATATCTCCTCAAGGTATGATTTTTTCGGTCTGAAAACTCGAATTTCGGAATCAGCATGCCAAATTACCCTAGAAATGATATTTGTCTCGTGCGCTCTTTCCCCAAGTCTCCCAACAATTCAGAGCCCCCCATTAGGGTAAAATGATACAAAGCCGATTTTTCACTTTTGGGGTGCGGAATATCGCACTCAAATGTATGGCCAACTATAGCTAATTTTATCCGCACATTACATTTAGGCCAATATCATTTCCAAGGTAATTTGGGATGCTGATTCCGAATTTTGAGGTTTCGAGTCAAAAAATCATGGGGGGTGGGGGACTTGGAGGGCAGGGGTCATAAAAAATTTCTCTCGTCATTCTGAATAACTTTGTAGTACATTATTTTTTGATCCGACCAAATTTTGACATGGTGGGGTACTCCCCTGCCCCCCCCCCAAATTTATTTTTTCGGCACATTATATCGATCCATATAGGTGAAATTGAAAACTTTTAGTAACACTTCGATACCTTTACTGGTAAGTACTGTGCTATATGAACAAAAAGCTTTCAATTTAAATCAACATAAGTCAATAATCAGCGAATTGAAGTGATATATTCACATAACCACCTAATTCGATCGTAGTCTCATTAGTCGGCATTGTTTTAATGCTTTTTATTTGTATTTAAACACTTCATTTATTTATGCAACTATACAATTGACTTGAACAATTTAGCGAACATTAAAAAAATTACACACGAGAGACACGAGCAACGTGTTTTGTGTTTAAATGTGTGTTTATAGCCAATTTAAAATCGATCTTGATATTTAAGCATACAAAATTTATGTGTTTCGATTTTTTTTTTGTTGTGTTTATTTTTAATTTATAGTACAACATAAAGAAGAAGGAGGAACAAGTAGAACAGCAACCTCAAGAAGAGCCGAATCCACTGATGCGAAAGAAAAAAACACCTGAAGAGCTTGCGGCTGAAGCGGAACAAGAGGATCTAGATGACTTCACAAGTAATTATTTTCTGTATATTTTCGTTTTCTTTCGTCCATAGCCTTATTTTGCCATGACATTTTCGGCTTCGTTGCAATGGATGAATAATTGAATAAATTCGATAGATTAATGAAAAACAAATCTTGATTAAGCAATTTATTGAATTGATTTTAATTTTTGTAATTGATGCGAGTTTAAATATTAATACCGATCCCTCATATTTAAATAAAATGAATCATCGATTATTTTAAAAGCGAATATTTTCGTGTAAGAACGCATTCATGTTTTACATTTCACGTTATTCGCGTTTTTATTTAAAAAAAAAATCGACCGAATTTGGAGTAGTTAGCTAACGGATATTTCCATTCATCCGTGCATAAATGGTCAGCATGTCTACAGAACGGTCGCCTGTTAAAAGCTCAGAACGAACAAATATAAAATTTGAACCGAAGAATATACGAACTCTTTTGAACGCACAGAAAAGTACTTTTTCCCGATGTCAACAGTTTAAATTCGAAATCATCTCTTAAAAATGTTAATATTCATTGAAAATTGATCCCAAAATGGTGGAAATTCGGAGAAATTAAATGTGATTCGAAAAGTTCAGACAAACAAAATTTTTGGCAATCGACTTTTCGCAGACGGACATTCACTCGACGTCTAAATATTTTATGGACTGACAATGTTTCTCTGTGTCCGAGTCCATTGACAGCTCCAACTGAGTTTTTTTTATCGTTTGATGCAAACCAATGGAAAAACATGCACAGCACGCTTTTTTCATGAATAATTAAGGATCGAAAACTGTAACACAATAATTGAAATTGTCGATGTATTTACAATACAATATAATTCTAATTTTATTGTATTCGAATCGTTTCGCTTTTGTTATTTCTTACAGAATTGAAGAACACAATAGAGAGTCAAGTAAATGAAATAAAAACGCAGCTGGAGAGCAAATGCGTATTGCAGTGATAAGGTAACTTGTGAAAGACCGACAGACAGAGAAAACTGAAATCGTGCACATAAATTACCTACTGAATTATTTGAACGCTTAACGATGCAAATGGATGGCTACCCTCGAAACAAATAAGAAGGAAAAAATACACACATTTTGGCCATGAACGATTGGACGAAGAACAAAAATTCTACAAAAGACATTGCCACCCCATACTCACATAAACACCCCACATTCACCAAATGCAAAGCAAAAAAATAATAAAGAAGCAAAATCGTTTGAAGAGAGAGAAAAAAACTAACTACTCACAAACACACACACACACACAAACATATACTCAACAACAAAAAAAGTAAATAAATAGTCTTTATCTATCATACATTCACAAGACAAAAGAAGAAAAAAAACACATGCATCCACAGTAATATTGTTATTGTTATTACTTATTATTATCATTAAAACTAATTCAATATATACAACAACATGAAACTAAAGAAAAAAAATCAATATTAGTGCTAGCGTTTAAGAAACAAACAAAAACAAGAAGAAGAAGAAGAGGAGAAAGAAACAAATATAAAAGTAAGATTTACTAGCAAAGATATTTACTGAATGAAATGTTGCATGACGCATGACATTTGTGGAAAAATCTAAATACAAAATGAAAAAAAAATTAATTAAAGCAAGTTAAAAAATTGTTGAAACCAAGTGTCATGGTCATGTTGTTGTTATTTTTGCAAATTACAAGACAAAAACTAAAACTAAAAATATTAATAAAAAAATTGAACATAAGATCTTCAAATGAAAAACTAATATAGAGGTAAAAACACACCCATAAAAATTCCTTTGTTTGTTTTTCAGTTTTTATTGAAAAAAAAAAAAAATAATAATAATATGAATTAATCGATTGAGATATAGCATGAAGTCGCATTGTAATTTCCATTCGTTAGATTTTTGTTTGCATAAAATTGTTACACTTGAAGCAGTCCCAGATCGTGTGAGACGCCAATTCTTTGTCGTGCGCATTTATCGTTTCCTTTGTATATATAATATATGAATTTAAAAAAAGAGACAAAAACAAATGAAGAAAACATGACAAAAAAGGAATAAAAGTAGTTGTTTTTTGTAATTATTTATTTTGCTAAAATACCAATTTAAAAGCTAAAAATATAAAGATGTGGTAAGGAATAAAAAAAATACCATCCGAAGGGAATGTAAATAAAGTGAATCAAATTGTTACTAGGTGAAAACAAATAACGGCGCTTAGGTTCGAGAGCGATGAATCATTTTTAATTTTCTCTCATTTTCGTTCGTTTTTTGATCTTGTTTTTTGTGTTCATTTCTGTTTTACAATTTTAAATGGAAACAGACATTTCCAAGGAGCAAATAACAGAGATTTGTTTAAACAATTTTATTTTTTGGTGGTGTGCTTCAACAAAAAAAAAATATAATCGATGAATAGAAGCGTGAAATAAGAAAGAGTAAGAAAAAAGACAATGAAAAAGAGACACGAGAAAACTGAACTTAACGAACTAACATATGAATAGTAAATACGGAGCAATGCTAAATAGACTGGATGGAAATCGAAACGAAAATGAAATGAAAATGGAAAATAGCAAAGAGTAGAAAACATTGAGCAAAAAGAAAAAGAACTCACAAACAAACGTTGCTTTTAATCGAATATATCGATCTGGGTATATTTAATAAGCAAAGTAAAAAAAAGAAACTTAAGATTCGGTAGAATTTGAATAATTCGGATTGTTCCTAAAACTTGCGAGTAAAGATCTTTTGCATAATTTGTTTAATCTTTTTTTGCGATAGCAGCTCGGCTCAAAGCAAATAATATAGCTGATTTTTTTTATTAACCGAGATGGAATATGAGAGTTTGGTCTTTGAAAAGACCATTTTGTTGATGGAATATTTTAAATTGAATGATTCGTCATTTTGGTTCGTTATTATAAAGTGGATGTACATTGTACACAGTAACAAGCTCATACAACGCGATACAATTGTCACTCACACAACGCTGGAAAATGCATTTTTATGTATTAAACGGCCGACTGAAATGATATGGCCATGGACTGCGTGCGATGATTACAATGGCCGATGATTTGCAGGCAAAATAAAGCAATGATTCATGACACTTTAGTACGGCATCACTCTTAAGCAAACCAATTTGTTAACTGCCGATGCATTTCCAATGAGTCATTTTCATTTGGTCCATTGGACAAATTCATTCACACACACAAGAAAAACAAAAATAAAACTAAATATTTGTGTCACTGTGCCCAAGCTCTGTCCAATGATATTTCCACATTTTCAATCCAAACAATGTCCATAGCATGAACTGATAGAATGCATTTTATTCCGATGAGAAATGACGAAGAATAAATAAACACACAAAAAAAAACATGTGAAGACATACAATAAAATGAGTGACTTTTAATTTATTTTATATACCTTATGATGAAAAGTATCTGCTTTTATGAAAAGCGTATGTGATATTCAGAAGAAAAAAAAATGTGTATCTCTGAAATAGTAAATGACACTGACTACAATCAAGTAAAACAAAACCAAAAAAATAATATAAAGTGAAATTAAAATAATATGCATTTAAATTAGGAACACCAAAAAAAACGCTACCATATATACATAAAACCCACGAACACTTCTCTACCGAGTCTAAAAATACTTTGTTTATTTTTATTTCAAGCTAAATCATGAACAGTATACAAAAAAATGGAAAGCACATGATACTGCAACCAAACTAAAAAAACACACTCACACACTCACATTTAACAAATGGATAACAAACAAAGAAAATCAAACTGAGGGAAACCATTAATTTATTTTGCTATTCTTCACTTTTTGCATTCACTATTCATAAAAACTAATTGCTAAGGAAATTAGCAGCAGTGACAAACAAAACTGCTCACTCCAAATGGTCAAATGCGGCCATTCTAGATCTTTTTTCTCAAAACTACTCTCATACATCTCACATTTCCCATTTTCGATGTCGGCCATTTCGCCGTTATAGCTTTACACAAACCATATTCTCATCTAAAACATCTAATTCATATCCGGTTTAGTCTATTTCGTTTTCAATTCGACACTTCACATTTAGAAGAAGAGAAAAACAAATTGAAAATGTACTATGTGTTTCGTTTTATTATACTGTATTCATGCTACTACTATTTCTACTCACAGTAAACCTATTTTCGCCAAAAGAAAAAAAAAAGAAAAAAAATTTCGGTCACAATTTCTTTCCGTAGTATCTAATTTCCAGAGAAACATCAAGTAGAAAAATATATTTTTCTAAGCAATAACAACTCAACTAGAGCTGTCTATCGAAACAAAAGAAATGAAAAGCAGATGTGAAAACAAATGATATAGAAAGTAGAAATGATCATCGCACCTTGTGCACAATTTCACATGCTTACGTGTAAATTACAATTTGAAAGCATCCATCTGAATGACTTTTATTTTAACACATATATTGTGTGCATATCTGTGACTATCTGACGAAAAAATAACAAAAAACCAACAACAAACAAACGATAAAATCAATAGATTAAAGCATTTTTACTTTGTAGAAAAATTGCATTTTGATTGATTTATCACTCAAATCATAAATGTTATCTACGATTTTGCAACACACAATCTCCATTTTGAGGCGACCAACTGTAATTTTCACATTTAATTGCATTTCTTTTTGTTTTTGGTTCAAAATAGTTTCTGAATGTGGTTTGATTGTGAATAATTACTGAATAGCACATAACTACAAACATATGTACATTGATTGACACACACAACCGTCAGTAAAATATATTTTAGTAAATTATTGATGAAAAAAGAAAGATAAAAATAAAATAAAACTGATTAGTACTGATCAAAGCAATATAATAAAACGATCGAAAGGATCATGTGGACATTATTTTATTTTTCTATTTCTTATTACTATTTGAAGCTAGACAGTGGTCACAACAGAAAAACAAACATACAAATATCTATAGAGTCTAATGAGTGAAGTAGCTAAAATAAAAAAAAAATGATGAAAAATGCGGAACACAAAACGAAACTAGAATTAAAGCCAAAGATGATGAATGGGAAATTTACAAACAAAAGAAACACAATGAGATGAAAAAAAACGCAACTTTCAAATTGCGATCAGCCTAAAAAGCTTTCACACACACATACAGACACAAACAGACATACAGTAACTAAAGTTAGCCACTATTTTTTAGAGGACTTTAAACTTAACTTAACAAAGAATGATTGAAAGTGTCATATTTAGAAAAATGCAATTTTCGAGTCAATTCCTAACTAAATAATTCAGTACATCGAGAGCAATTTTACATTTTATGAACAATCCAAAGAGAAACAAGAACAAAAACAAATTTAAAAAACCTCACTCGTACTCAAAGCAACACAAAATGAACAAATAAGCTAAAGCCAATCCAATGTGAAGCAACAAACACAACGAATGACTTCAGAACTATGTGAATTTAGATCGTTTAACAGAAATATAAGAAAGGAACAAAAAACAAACGTTTGCCAAAAATAATAAGAAGAAAAATGCATTTCATTGCGCCAATTCTACGAAACAAACCACGTTAAGTTTGTTGAAATCGTGAAATCATGACATCAGGGAGCTTCCTGGTGAGATCAGATCAATCCATTTCTGGTCTCCCCGCTCATGCATATTTTTTGTGCTAAGTTTCACGCATATGCACAAACTATGTTTCAAAACTAAAAAAAAATATCAAAAATAACAACAAATAAAGGATAAAATCCTACGCAAACGAAACAAAAACAAAATAAAACCAATGAAATAAAAAAAGGGAAATCGCAGCACATATCACACACAAGATTGTTCATAAAATTTACGCGCCAAGACTCGAATACTTTTCAGAATCACTAAACAAATACAATTTATTTTTCTCTGCTCTATCTCTCAACTCAGTTGTTGCAATTAGGGAACGTTAAAAGTAATCGTATAGAGAAATGAACATTCTAACAAACCAACTGAAATGATATACACACACAAACAAAGACAAAGACACTGTTTTATAAATATTAAGCTAAAAACAAGAAGCAAACAGAAATGGAATGCACATGAGTTTCTTCGATGTTTTTCTGTTTTGACTAACACAACTAATGGATAGTGACTTACTTAATATGGAATATTTCAATGCAAAACCACGAAATGTGCATTTTCTTTTGTTTATTCTCTCAAATGTTAGTTGATGTTTTTCTTTGTGTTTTATTCTTTCGATTTTCAATTTTTTTTTTCTTCACTTTGCATATTCTTCTTCTCTTTTTTCTCTCTCATTCTATTTATGTCGTTCCCTTTAACGAATGGGACAATAAATACAGACACATATAAACGAAATAATAAAATGTATGTCCCTTCTCCACTGTAAATTGTTGAAATTTTCAGGATCACATGTCGATCTCGCTTTGTTATTTTGTAGAATTTATTACACACATACACACACACACATTTGCCCACACTGGGAAAATGTTGGAATTAGCGGTAGCAATAAAATCTAAATTTTAAATTTAAACATGCAAGCATATATTGCTTAACTACATAGTGAACAGGAATACAACAAAATAAAACACAACACATTTTAGTATTGTTATATATCTCTCTTAAACTATTTGAAACCAAAACACGAAACATACAAAAAATTAGAAGAAAAAAAATTGTCAAAAAAAAAACACTTATGGAAAGTTACTCAAGATTGATATAGAACAAATAATTATCCTCTCGCAAACTTCTTGCTCTTCTAAATCCGGAGTTTTACACACATAATTGTGTTCTGTGTGATGCTATTTACCATCACATGTTGATGAAGACTTTCCAAAACACGAAAATGTTCTCGAATTTATTTTGCTTTCTCCCCTTTTTCTCTGCTTTAGTACAGTCACACCAAATGTAGTTTAAATTAATTTTTTTTTAGATAAATAGAATGAAGAAATAACGGTGTGGTTATCTAAGCGATTTTAGTTTGCTCCTTGATTCGAAGTACACTATTGCATGTTTTATTCTATTTGTTGAAATATTATGTATAGATCTGAGCGATTTGAGTGGAAATATTTGATTTCTTTGATTGTACTTTTGAGCTGTCTCTCTCCATCTCATTCACTCTCCATTTTTTCAGTCACCTAAAAACGGCCAACAGTGCGAACAAAACTTCCGTAGGCGTAAACATACTTTCTCATCTCTGACGAAGTGTAGCATTAATGATCAAAACGATCACGTACGTAGGTTGCTCCATAATTTTTTTTAAAATGGTACTTATAGTGTTGCCCGATGTAAACCATTGTCATATTCGTAAAGTTTGATGTTTTGGTATGTATTCGTGCCCTGAACCTTTTGTCGTACGAACGCTATTTGTATTGTTTACAGTGACTGGTAAACTGCGACTCAACAAAAAAATGAATTTTACACGTGAAGATTTTCGTAAAATGATTTACTACGATTTTCGAAGTAAATTATCTCAACAATAGTGTTTCGATCGACTTCATTTGGCCTTTGGCAATGAAGCACCAACCCTTCAGACAATTTATAACTGGTACCGAGAATTCCGTTGCGGTCGTAGTTCGCTCAAAGACGAGTTTCATACAGGTCGTCCAAAATCGGCTGTTGTGCCACAAAACATCGATGCTGTCAGAAAACTGATTATGGAAGATCGTCATGTGACCTACCGTGAGATTGAGGCATCTTTGGGCATTTCATCCCACAGCATACATACAATTTTGCATGAACATTTAGCCGTAAAAAAGATTTGCTCTCGTTGGATCCCACATAAATTGACCGATGAACAAAAAATGGCTCGTGTGAGTTGGTGTAAAGAAATGCTCAAGAAATTCAATCGTGGTGCTTCAAAAGACGTTAATAAAATCGTCACTGGTGACGAATCGTGGATATATGCCTATGAGCCCGAAACGAAACAGCAGTCGACTGTATGGGTCTTCCAAAATGAAGATAACCCAACGAAAGTTGTTCGAGCAAGAAGCACTTCGAAGCGAATGGTCGCCTGTTTTTTCGGGAGAAGTGGTCATGTGGCAACCGTTCCACTAGAGGATCGTAAGACCGTCAATTCTGATTGGTATACCACCATTTGTTTGCCCGAAGTGTTTGGTGAAATAAGAAAAAACAACCACCGTCGCAAAATAATTCTTCATCACGATAATGCGAGCTCTCACACATCTTTTCAAACTACTCGATTTTTGACCGGTCAAAACATCGAACTGATGGGTCATCCACCGTACAGTCCTGACCTGGCACCCAATGACTTTTTTTTGTTCCCAAGCGTGAAGAAAAAACTACGTGGTCAACGATTTTCGACACCAGAAGAAGCAGTTGAAGCGTTCAAAACACACGTTTTGGAGATATCAGTTTCGGAGTGGCACGAATGCTATGACAAATGGTTTCATCGAATGCAAAAGTGTATCGATCATCTCGGGGAATATTTTGAAAAACAATAAAACCATTTTCGACAAAAAACAACTGTGTTATATATGTTTTTAAAAAAAATTATGGAGCAACCCTCGTAAAATGAATAATCATTTTGTTTTTCTTAAATGATCGATTTTTACTGAATGTAAAACAATAGCTCCCAATATATTTGTCCATCATGAATACTGCCTTAATAAATAAAAACAAACAAATTGCAAACAAAACAAAAAATCATACATACAAATTTCATCAAAATGTGTTCAAAATTTCGTTTGGTTGTTGAGGATATTGCGCTTTTTTTTGTCTCCACTTGGCAACAAATGAACGAGAAATATTTACATTTTGAAGTGAGTCAATTTACAAATCGATTCGTCAGAGTGCATGATGAGATGTTTTTAAACAGTTCGCGACAGTGAAAAACGATCCCTAGAGAGATGTATGCACATAAAATATTATGGCGCGTATGCATGACATTTTGTCATAAAAATACGTAGCAGGAGATGAAAAAGACGAAGAAAAGCGATATTTTTCCAAATCGCATCCTCCTCCGGTTTCAAAATTTCAACTAGAAAAGAGGATGTAAGTTGTTGTTTTTATTTGATTTGAATCTCTCTCTTTCTTAAATGAAGCTTGTGCATAAGGTTTTACAAAATTAACAAACCACACCAACAAACACTTGAAACAAGCATAAAAAAGAAGTTAAGATACACACTTGTTGGTTTTAGTTATAATCTATGATATAAATTTTGATGAATGCGGTTTCAGTTTTTGCGTCCCAACTACCTAATTGTATTTGTTATTAAACTCCTCCATCTAACCCTGTTACAATATATCTCCGTATTCAAATTATAGTGCGAATACGAATCTATCTATGTTTCATTATAACTCATGTGCACGTGATCGTCGTCTATCTTACTGACCTCAAATATTGGACATTTAAGCTGAACATGTTAAAAAACATAGAACGCATCAATTTTTCATTACAAAGATCGAATTCGTAAGCAATGTAGATCGAGTAGATTAGATATACGTTTCTACGATGCACATTTGGGTCCAATTATTAATTGCTTAGTTTTTTTTTACCACAAAAAATACACACACACACACCCAAAAACAAAACTCGATTAGTTGGAAAAATGAATGAACAAATTTTGCCAGTTTGAAATGATGGAAAATTAAAACTGCAAGTGTTGCCTTGCAACCAGTTGACGAGCAACAAACAATTGAAATTGATGTGAACAGAGCCCATGGATATATGTGTAATTGCACAGAACTATAAAAACAAAATTATTCACATTGGTTGAATAAATTTTTGGAGCTTCCATCTACAAGTTCATCAAATATAAGAACAAAATGTCTTTTAAAACATTTAAGTTTAACTTTCCATTTATTTTGATTGTGCGTTTTGTTATTCATACGTATGAAACGTGTATCAAAATTCTTTCTTTTTAGAGATAAACTCCAATGATAACTCATTTTTGCAATGTAGAAAACTAAAAAAAAACCTATTCGCTTTATTTTTTTTATTTGAATCATAATTCATAGTTAGCGATCGTACACAAACGGTTAAATTTATTTGTTTTGAAAGCTTAACAACGAATCCTTAGACGTTATAATTATTATTATATTCGAATTTTCCATTAAAGTTTATAGTTGAACATATGTTAAAAATTGACAAAAACCAAAAAAAAAAAAATGCATAAACGAATGAAACATGCAGAAAGCACAGGAATATTCAAAACTTAAAAACATAAAAAAAAAACAAGTTATGAACAATTTTAATTATTTAACTCAAAAACAAATTAGTGTTTAAAAAAATAGGATTTTGAAACATAAAAAAACCAGCAAACAAATAACAAATATCAACAAAATAAACAACAACAATACCCAAACAAACAAATCTCAAACATTCACAACTTCAAATACATTAGATACGATCGCGTAATCTCATTATATCTCTTGGATTTATCGGTCTCCATACCTAAATAAAAAAATTAATCAAGTACTATATTATTAAAAATTAATAATAACAAGGTATATACCCGAAAAATGATACACACACAATGTTAATCCTTAAAAAAACAAAAAAAAAAATGAAATGAATTTACTTGGTATACTTTGGCGGCGCAAATCGAATTCGAATTCAATCCAACCATCATCTCTTCAACCATGCACCATTTAAAGATCCAAACTAAGCTAATGCAATTGATCATATATTAATATAAATTAAGATACATTACTACTTATTACATTTTTATCACATCACTGATCAATGTACACACGGTAATTAATTTTTATTTTTCAATTTAATTTTTAGCCGAAACTTTCGATCAGAGTAGACGTGGCCACACACACATTTTCGTTCAATAATTCGTCATTCGTATTTATAATTATTAAATTTGATATTTCATTAGTAAAACTTAAGATGCATATTTTAATCCAATATGCCATATTAATGAATTATTAATTTTAATAATTATTAATAACAGTTTGTAGTTATTAACGTTTCTCCCTCCTGATCGGATAGAGTAAAGAGATTACTAATCTATATATAGATGCTTCATTAGCATTGTTTCACTGCTTTTGCCCACACTGAATTTGAGTGAAAGAATCATTTATGAAAATGTTTTTCTTTGAGAAAAATCGCCACTTTGAGTTGTCTTTTTTTGCGAAAAAAAAAGAAATTTGTTGAATATATTCGGAGAAAAAAGGGATACAAATGAAAATCTATCCATTGATGTACTCGATTAGTGCTCGTTTTGTGCAATATATTATTCGTGAAAGTTTTAGACTTTTTTTACGACTGGTAGTTTTCTTATACTGTGATTGTTATGTCAAAAACAAAAATAGTAAAAAATTTGTTGAACCGTTGAGTTTTTATCTTATTTTAAAATGAAAAAAAAAATTATAATAATAATAATAATAATAATATTATCGACCGGCACGACGAAAATTACGTTCAAGTTTAAATATGGACAATTCTTTGGATGTCCCAAATCAATTTTACCACCTCAACTCATTCTTAACGTAAGATGATTCTCTATATAAGCTTAGTTATTGCTTTTTTGTTTTACTACAAAAAAAGAAACTCAAAGTGAAAGAGGGACAACAGTTGATGTTCGCCCAATATGTTATCACGAGATATCGAAAAGTAATTTTTTTCTTCTTCGACTTCTCAATGTTTATTTATTTAATTTTAATTATTTTTTTTTTCGCTTAGTTGCGTGTGTGTGTAAAATTTTCATTGCTAGAATTTAGAGCTCGCATAATCCTTTTTAAAAGACATAAAACCAAACAAACAATCTCCTTTTACAACTATTATATAAATACATAAACATCTTCTATATATACAAAATATTTCAGCCAATAAAATTAAGAAAATGGCATGCGATGTGCAGTTGAAAACGTTTGAACAGTGTAGTGACAAAAAAATGAGACACGTCTGTAAATCAGGCCAGAAAAGCGATAGAACAAAAAACCCGAAATTATCATTTTAAAGCAAATTTGAATTGAACGAAAAATGCGAAAACGACCAATTATTAATTAAAAGAAAAAAACAACAACGGTAATTAAAAAAGACACTTGTCCTTCATATGTTTTAGTTAAAACAAATCCTTTTCCCAACAGATTATTGTTTCATTTTTATCAAGGATACGTTTGCAAATTTTCCGGTTTCTGTTGTGGTTTTTGTTTGTTATTATTTTAAGTAAAAATCGCAATTTACCGTTAGTGTAATAAATTAATTGGTGCCTTTTGTTAGAGAACAAACATAAAAAAGCATATAACCACAGCAATATTTAGAGAAGCAAAACCAAAAAAAGGCAAACATAAACCAGTTGATTGTTGTACACACATCGAATAGAAACCAAAGCAAATTTAACACAGCGAGTTCATAGTAATACAAACAAAAATGAAAATAAATACAAAATGAATAAGAATTCGAATTTTCTTTGAAGCATCTCTTGATATACATGCACAAAATTCGATGCGAATATAGACACCGCCGAATAAGATGCATGTAATTTGAAGAGGAATTGCAATCAGTGGAAATATGCAACAGAAAGAGAATATCCCGCTTTTGAAGCTAGATGAACACTTCATCACCGTCACCGATTCTTTTTTCGATTATCTTTTTTATTTTTATTTTTCGTTTTTCTCACTTTTTTTTCAGTTTTAACGTAGTCTTTGAATATAACATTGCAATCGCAAGAATATTCTAATATGCCCACACAAAAAAATATTTACACATAAAACTAATTGGCGTGAAAAGATTTTATATAAATATATTACGGCTTTAATCGATATTCTAGTCAACAACATCAATTCAAGTTGATAAAGAAAAAATTTGGTTGTTTGTAAAGAAAACCATTACCACTCTTAGCCACTTCCGCATACCCCAGAACAAAGTGAAAATAAACATTTAAATTACACAGTATATTCGCTTACGATTTCCAATAGAGACCCACATTTTTCAAATGATTATTTCAATAAAAGTAAGCATATTTCACAATTTACCCGTATGCTAATAGTTTAAAACAAAAAAATAAAAAAAACTAATTTTGTTCATTAATTTTTTTGAAAATTAAGAGAAAAAAAAATTATTGGACAATATACATCTTCAAAATCCATATGTAATAACTATAACGAACAGATTTTATAGAAACCAAAATGAAAAACACAAAACAAATAACACATTTTGATGGAACACTAACACTAACGTTAATCTCGGCTTAATTTTCGAAATACATAACATTCATTAAAAGGCTTGTAAATTACAAAAAAAAAAAATGTTCAACCACTTGATTCAATGTTCAAATAACAACAATAACAAAAAATGAAGAAATTCCATGATCGAAAGAGACATAAGAAGTCATGTGGATAAATAGGCCAATCAGAAATACAATTCAAATGACCCACAACAATAAACAACCATACAACTCACATAAAATTGAAGATGAAAATAAATAAAACATGAGAACTTCGTGGAATGGATTTGCGAGAGGTAAATTTATATCGGCACTTTGTAATAATAATTGTTGTTATCCTTATATACATAAATAGTTAACTATTGTTTTGAAAAAATTGAAAGAAACAACAAAAAAAAACTGTTTAGTATGTTATAATCACATTAGATGCATTAAAGTGTCTGTTAAAATGAAATACAAATAAAATTAAATGAATTGGACACAAATTGGAGTTTATCGTTTATTTACTTAAAGCAAAATAAGCATAGAATGGAAACACTTCTCACTGATTGATCGTTTAAAATGCTTTAAGATGCATTTTATTAATATTACAGGTACCCTACACGAATTTTTTCTTTTTAAAATTGAGGTTTGTATACTTATTATTAATGCACAAAAATCTATTTGCATTAAAGTTACTTAATGTAAACAGTGTGATTTTATTCCATCAGCTTTTTATTCTCTTTTGGACACACTTCTTAATTCTATTAAATCATTATCAGCTGATATACAACCGACTTATCCTACGGGTCCCCTCGGTAAGTTTAGTCATCGTTTAATTGTTACATGAAAATAATACAAAATATTATTTATTTTCATGTGACATTGTATTTGCGAGTGTTCAAAGCAACAAAATTATCGGCGAATACAATCACACATTCATATCTTCAACTGGCACTACCGGTCACATGTATTCCATGAATCTGGAGACTTTTTTTAATTTCAAAATGTTTTAACATAATATTATGCAGAATATATAAATCAGTGAGCATATTATGTGAAAACACTGTGTATTGTGTACTGTTTTCAATCTTTTCGTAGTTGGATAAAATAAAAGTTAGATACTCTATTCTATAACATTAAAACAATATTCTAGATAAGAAAGTTTCAGTACCATTTGGATGTCATTCAATTTTGTTTCATTGAAGTTCGTCTATCAGAATATGTGGAGATACTCGTCTGTTTTCATTTTCAGTTTAAAAAAGAATTACGTTCTCTGCTTTCCATCTCACGCATATAAACTAAAATGAAGGCTCTTGAATAAAAACAAGATATTATGAAGTTTCATTTAAAATCGAAACAAGACTCCATTTTCATATGGATTTTTTGTTGTAATTCGTCACGTTTCGCTTCGATATGAAACTGTATAATATGCTGTTTTTCTTCTCGTGCATTCAACAATATTTGTAAGTTCATATTCATACTGATTCTGTTGACAATGTTACACACACTAATCAAATGCATGAAAAAATAAACGAATCTATGAATAATTCTTATTTAAAAGTGATAACAACGGCAATGCCAGTATTTAAAACCGTTGTGTTGTAGAATATTTTATCTTTCAGTCATATTTCAACAAGAAAGTCACGTTCACAGAGTCTGGAAAAAAATTGCTGGAAAAAATGAGTAAGATTTTTTAAACTCAAGTTTTTGAGTTCAAACAACACTGTGAAAAATAAATATTTGCAAGTTGAAAATTCACCAAAAATTACACGAATTTAAATCTGTGTAAAACACGCTTATCACAATGTAAAAATATAAGAATAAAATAGGGAAAGGAAAATAAGAAGAAAGATAAACAGATATACATTTGATTTACATTATAGTAAGTCTGTTTTACGTAGATGGTGTTATAAGAAATCCCTAAAAATTGTGCTTCTTTGAATCCGATGTAATTTTAATTTAGCCCATTGGAAAGTACATATTTCTCGTGGTTAGTACATATTTATACTTTACAATTCAATTGGGAATTGAAGTATTGCTTTGACAAATTTTTAGTAAATCCTAAAAATTGAAAAGAAAACTCATTAAACAAACTCAAAACAAGATTTGATCTTATTAATTGTTTGCACTAAATTATGAAAATCAATTCAAATGTCCTGACACAATAAAAATGAATAATCTATAAACGCCCACTGAATATGACACGTATAAAGTTGTTGTGTTTAGCAAAGTTATGATTGAAGTGAGTTTATTCAAGAAAAATATTGGTATTTATACAATTTTAGAATAATAGAAGTGTACATATAGTGGGATCGACATTTGTATTATTAATATTCGTATTTCAAATTTAGTTTCATATTTACGTGCAAGTGAATAATTTGTTCAAATCAATAACACATTATTGTTTAGATTCATCTAGAAACTAATATTTCTCAACAATAATATTGTTCAGATTTAAAATTTCTCAACAAATGTGTCCATATATCAAGAGACCGATATGAAATTTATCCGAACAAAAAATAGAAAAACATAAAATAGAATGATTTATGAATACCAGAAGAACTAGCAAAAATCAATGAAATATATCTAAAACAAACCAAAATATGAATTGCATTATAGCAAAGCTTTTCAAATGATTAGATTTATTTTGGTTTGATGAAATATAGTTTGTTATTTTGAATATATGCAAACAAAAACTGTCCGTTTTAAAATATGTTGATTCAGTGCATTTTTATGAATATATTTCAAATTTTTCACATCTATTGAAAGAAAGGCAGTAAAAAAATCACAATGCATCGTTCTTATAGCGGTATAATTGTCCATAAAAATAGTATTGATTCCATGACCGTGAAATGAAGGCCAGAATACTAGAGAAATCTAGAAAAACGACTAGTCGAATAAGCAATTTGTGAATCACACCAAACTTTCGAAAGTAAGCTAAAAACAGTAATATGTGTAATCCAAGTGTGTTCTTAAAACAGATGTTATTTTTGTTCGAAAACATCATTTTGCTTGAGAAATGATGTCACTTTTACAGCCCATATCTTTTACAATCAACGAATTGTATTGCTTTCATTTTCAATACATTTTTAAGGCCACACAAAAACGAATTTTTTTTTTTGAATTATTTCATAATGTTCATAACAAATATCGTACCACAAGTACTTTTCATACCAATGAACAAAATGTGTTTATGAATGTATGCCCTCAATTGAAACTTTCAGCGGTAATTCATGACTCATTGTTTCATATGAATCACATTATTCAGGTGTACTACTTATCAGGTTATATTATCACGAGCGCACGATAAGACGGTTTATCACCTATTTAAACAAATCGCACAGATCGAAATTTGTCTTGTAGTAATACTTTAACAAGTGGATTACAACTGCAAAGCAGAACATAACTTACACATTTTATACTCAATATTTTAAAAAATCGCAAAAAAATGAGTAGGTATTTTGTCATTTCCACAAAAAAATTCTTTTTATTCAAAAATATTATTTAAAAAGCGACGATTTAACGCGATCAAAATTTTGGCTTGTTATTTATTTCAAATATAAAATAAACAAATGGCGATAAAAATCATCTTTTTGACATAAATCGTTTAATCTTCTGGGCTATTCTCTCGCTTAAAATACGTGGTGCATCGTACATGTGAATTCAAATTGTAAAGTTAAATTATTGCAATATGTTTCAATAATCTATAAAACCATGGATGTTGTCATACAAGTTTATTACATTTTTTTATTAATTGAGACACCACCTGAAAAAGGATGATTTTTCAAAAAAAGATATTGTGAATAATTGATCAGATTTGAGATCAAAATCTTAGATTTTTGATCTCAGTGTATCTAAGCTTTTATATTTATCTCAAATCGAGATAAATCTAGATTAATCTCAAATCTGATCTGAAATATACTTTTAAATTTAAGTCCAAATGGGACTTGGGTAAACCGGTAAACAGGCTGGCTAATTTGGGACGTTTTCAGATTAAGCCGACTGAGATCGAAGTCATTTTAAGTCGATTTATTTGACTTTATTTGACTATATTAATCACACCATTGCTGCAAAGACACTTAGTTATTAGCGCCATCTAGTTCGTGCGAGAAAAAATCTTCACATTTCACACACGTACTATTGAGTTACTTCACTATGCAATACAGTGAGGGCGCCAGTGATACGTGTTTTGCAGCAACCCAGTGATATTAATATAGCAAAGTATAACTATAATCGACTTTAATCATAGTTGACTGTATAGTCGTCTAACGTTCCAAATAAGTCGTCTGGTTAAATAGACGAGTAAAGTCGGTGTTAGCTAACAAAATTCATTTTTAGTTGATTTCAGCTAGTCAGTCAGTCACTTTTCTTCCACACGGGTGTAAATCGAAATTATTTTCAAAGCATGTTTGGTTACAGCTATGTTTGGTTGCAGTAACTTAAATCGCCGTGAAAACTTGTGAATATTATTTTTTTATTAATATAAACAATCTCACAAAGTTTAAAGAAATTTCAATCAAAAATATAGCTCAATATATGGCTCATAACCGAAAATTTTATATGGGAGGTATCCCTAATATGCACTGAAATTTCTTTAAACTCTTGGAATGTAATTTTCTTGTGGAAAAAACAACCTGTGTAAAGTTTCATGCCATTACGCTACCACAAAGGCATGGCTCCATACAAAAATATATTTTTTTTGTGAATTTTTGTATGATAAGTCTGTGAAAAATTGATTGCATCTTAAAACTAACGTCATTTTCGGCCCGAATCAGAAAAGAATGCTTTTGGGTGTTAAGCTTGTAAATCTTAGATATCTCTCGTTAGATACAGATTTTTGTATCCAGATCCAGATAGATTAGATTTATTATACCTTTTTTCTATTGAACTTAGATCAGATTTAGATTTGATCTATCTAGAAATCTATCTAAAAAATCTCAAGATTTTTAATCTACTCGAAACACTGGTTTTCGTAGGCTTAAACTGGGTTTCGTCAAATTCACACTCTGGCATTCCAATGGATGCTGTAGTTGCTGGTCATGATGTCGATGGGGCAACAATCTATGTGGGTCGTGCATTCCATGAAGGTGATATGGTCCCAGCTAAAGTAATTCCCTCAAAGAACGTTGCCTACATTCCATATAATTGCGCTGAAATTCCAAAATATGATTATCAAGTAAGAACCAATTTGCAGTTGAGCCAATCGTTTAGTTATGTACAAAATAAAAACAATATTCAAATTAAAATGAATAATAGGTTTTAGTCGGAAGTGGATTTTCGTGGGTTACATCAAGCAGTGGCCATGTTCCAGCCGAAGCAGTTTGTGCTGGCAATCAAAGCAACGGTGAACCGTTATATGTAGGAAGAGCTCATGTTGAAGGCTCCTTGTCAACTGGAAAAATTCATCCGTCACACAATTGTATCTATGTACCTTTCAATGGTGCCGAGCACAGTGTATCTGTGTATGAAGTGCTTGTTGCACAAAAACGATGTAAGTGACAATAGTAGAGAACGAAAAACAAACGAAAATGAATGATTAACATTAAATTGATTTGATTGGACTTATTTTATTAGGCACTTGGGTCCCAAGTACACTCCATTCACCACTACCAGAGGGTGCACTTTTAGCTGGTCATGACCAAGACGGATCTCCAATGTACATTGGTCGTGCATTCCATGAAGGAGACCAAATCCCAGCTAAGGTCATACCGAGCAAGAATGCCACTTACATCTGTTATGGCGGGCACGAGATTCTAAAAGATTCGTTCGATGTTTTATGCCATGGAAACATTTCATGGGTCCAACAAAATCCAATGACACGAAATGAAGTGCCGTTCGCTGTAGTAGCTGGCCACACATCTTCTGGAGAACCTTTGTATATTGGTATGAAAGTCATCAAAAATTAACATTGACATTTCTAATAATGTGATTCGTTTTCAGGTCGTGCACATCATGAAGGTAGTCTTACTGTTGGTAAAGTTCAGAAATCACATGGGGCGCTCTACATCCCATTCGGCGGGGCAGAGGTTCCGATTCATTCAGAAATCGAAATTTTAGTTGAAAACTAACTCCATTTGCAAAAAATAATAATTTGATGACTTTTTGCTTAAATTCTTGCATTTAACTTTAAAAAACTTGTCTAAAGTTTAACGCCAGAATGAACAAATTGAAAATTTAAAAATAAATTTGATATAATATCAGAAAATATTTAGAGTTGTTTTATGAGCAATTACCTAATAATTTGGATTATCGAAAGACCGTTATATATTCATTTGTATCAGGTAATGACATCACTTCGACACTATAATCTTTTTGATCAATCTGCAGTAATTGCATCGATCAAAGAAATGAAAAATGTTGAGTAATACCAAATATGTTTGTTTATACTTAATAATATCACATCGTACCCAATGGTGGAAAGTTTTATACAAATCATATAGATAAGGAAAGGCACCTCAAGTCAAGTAGTAACAATGTGATAAGATTTCACCATTGGCGAATCAATATGAAATGGCACTATGAATTTACGTTTTTTGAAAAAAAAAAAAAAAAAACTGTACAAGCAAAAAATTTTTTATCTGACAATTGTGTTTAGCGAAAATATTATACGCGGATAGAAAACACATCAAGCAGATGACACATATATGAGTTTGGAGACTTTTTTTGCATTACAGTTGGGACTAATAAAATCAGACTAGTAAGATAGTTATTATTTATTACTAATAACTTCTAATAACTGGTAATAAGATATCATCTTATTAGTGTAATAAGAGTAGTAATAAGTATAGTTATTAGAATATTACTAGTCAGAAGACTAATAAGATGCATGTATCTTATTAGTATAGTTATTGGTATAGTTTCTCATCAGTATATTTCGATTGGTGTTACTAAAATCAAATTTATTGCTGAAAAAGAAACTCTCGGAGACTCGGTATATACAATGCACAAAAAAAGTGAAAAATATTTTTTTTGTGTTTTCGACTGTATTTCTGCTGATACATGGCAGGCTTATATGAAACTCTCGGAGACTGGGTATATTTTAAAAAAAATTTTTTTTGTGTTTCAGTAGTATTTGATTCTAGTAACACCAATCGAAATATACTGATGAGAAACTATAATAATAACTATACTAATAAGATTCATGCATCTTATTAGTCTTCTGACTAGTAACATTCTAATAACTATACTTATTACTATACTTATTAGTTCAAAAAAATAATAAGTAATAATATAGTTTGATCTTATTAGAGTGATAAGATAATAAGATGAATAATAAGATACCGAAAATTCCCAACTGTATCATGCATGATATCGGTGAACTCAATTTAGTTCGGTATCATGAAAAATAATGTGCTTTTATATTTTCAAACCAAAGATGATAGAAAATTATTAAAGTTTATCATAGTAAACACTAAATTAATTTGGTTATACTTCACACTGTAAACAAACAAAAAAAAAATAACAAATTTAAATACTTTTCGGAACACACAATAAACAATGCATGTAATAACAATGTGAACGTAAAAAAAATATTGTATTGATTATTGTTTTAAGCAAGTAATATTTTTCATTTATTTAAATTATTTTTTTTCCTTAAAATCGATTTGATTTGAATTTTTGAACAATAGTTTTTGTTATATAATTTTTATTTATGATGACTAACATTTATTTGCCAAAACTAACATCGAATTTCGATAAACAGATTGGTGAAAAGATTGGTGATTTGATTGACGTTGATTCCCGAGTATCACTTGCGTTGTATATTGACAATGTATTTGAACGTGACTCGATTTAAGAAGCGCCATCTCTGTCACGACAGGTTCTCATATATTTTTTTCTTGCAAATAAAATTGCAAAATTGTATAAATTGAATAAGTTTTGCAATAATAATAACGAAAATAATTAATAGAATTTATAATAAATAAAAAAAATTGAAAAAAACACACAAATATTTTATATTATATGATATGTAGCTTTGCCTTGTAGACCATGTAGAGATGGTTACGTGGAAAATATGTATTTGTCAAACATTCATACCTGTCAAAAGAAACAACGTAAGCAACACGAAGTGAAGCTATTCTGGTGAATCATATAATATAAAATATTTGTGTGTTTTTTCAGTTTTTTTATTTATTATAAATTCTATTGGTAGTAGTAGTTAAAAATGTCTTTTTTTTTTGTAAAAATACAACTTTATTTAATAAATTCTGTAAATAACATATCATTCAAAGTATTGGCCATCGTTATCTATGATTTCTTCCCACCTTTCTGGCAGCATATGGATTCCGCACCAAAAGAACTGCTCACTTTTTGAGGCTAGGAACGAATCAATCCAATTTTTGATACCTTCAATTGAAGTGAAGCGTATTCCAGACAAGGCATTCTGCATCGATCGAAACAAGTGATAGTCAGAAGGGGGAATGTCCGGGCTATACAGCGGGTGGGGCAAAACTTCCCATCCACTATTTTCCAAATAGTTCTTAACCGGCTTAGCAATGTGAGGCCGAGCGTTGTCATGATGGAAAATTATGGACTCATGTCTGGTCGCATATTCTGGCCGTTTTTCGTTCAATGCTCTCTTTAAACGGATCAATTGTGTTCGGTACAGGCCTCCCGTGATCGTTTCACCCGGTTTTAATAGCTCATAATAGAGGACACTAAAAGTCAAGTTTGAAAGTTATGCAAATGAGTGGAGATACTGAGAAGCCAGTGAGAGTGCTCTCTAAGAACTCAAAACATTCGAGAGTTTGAAAAAATATTGAAAATTGTCGATTTGACAGAGAGGCATGTGATTTGTTCCGGGAACAAATCTATTTTGTTCTGGGAACAAATTTATTTTGTTCTGGGAACAAATACATTTTGTTCCGGGAACAA